AACTGATTAATTCGGTTCGATTTGTACACCCTCGTTGAATCGATAGTTATTGTGGTGTTTCTTTCCCTCTCGTGTCACTCACTGATGGGCTACGCAAGAAGGCTTTTTGCTGAAGAACTCCACCACTTGGATGCATGGATTTATTGGTGGAATTCTTTTAACATGAAAGTTATAACTCAATCCCTGCTTTTAATGCGTGGGAATAGTAATAGGAAAAGGAGATTCCTGGGACCTTTCAAACACCTACGAATTGAATCTTAGCTATGTTGATTCTCATCATCTTTTTTATGCTTTTTGTCACTCTGTTTTAACTTCTTGTTCTCTTCACTTTTGCTTTTTTTTTTGCTTGATTGAGAGAGAGAGAGAGAGAGAGAGAGAGAGAGAGAGAGAGAGAGAGAGATGCTAAAGCCCTGCCATCGTCTTTCACCTCACACACAAGTTTTGGATGAACTGGCAATCGGTCAAAAAGTAATTTTTCTCATGCAAAGGGATTGCCCTCAAGTTTAAGGATGGAGATGTCTCATCAAAGTTGATGTCAGGAAGGCATTGGATTCAGCTTCATGATCTCTCTCAGAAGAAATGGTGCTAAAAATGGTGTATTGGATCCTTGCACCAGTTCCCCAACGACTTTCCATCAATCTGAATAGCAATATGCTTGGATACTTCCTTGGTAAAGCTTGCTTTTGCCACCTTTCCTTACTGTCATTGAAATAGAATACCTCAGGATTAAGACCTCAGAATATTGCTGGACAACAGGGATTTGGCTTTCATCTTGGATGAAGAAAAACAATTATTATCCAACTGTGTTTTGTGATGGAAGCTAACATTCTTTTATGAGAATTAATCATGATCCTGGGAGAAGCTTAATCTTTTCAAGGACAAGATGGATTCTTGTGATGAAACTGTTAAATATCATGGCATTTTTGGGTCCATCAAACCACCTTTTGCTTGTAGTTGGCTTGACAGAAGGTCCTGCCTCAGACAATAAGAATTGATGATGGTAAATAAACTCAGCTCTGAAGGTTATCAGGTTTCAGACTTTCCTGATATAAATGATAGATGGTAAGATACACAGTTCATCAATATTAGACAGAAAGAGGTCAGAGTGATCCAGAGATCAAACCTGGAATCATGTTCAGAAATCCTTGTTTGGCTAATCACACATTGCAGGCTGTACATGCAGTATCTTTCGAAAGGAAAAGAACAAGTAACAGATTATGTATGTTCCATCCTTTGCCAGAATAATCAAGCATATTTATTGTAAATGTGATTTATCAAGCTCAAACAGGGGAAAATTGCTTGATGATATTGATGGACAGACTATGTTGTCTAAATTTATGATCAAGTGCTATTTTTTGCTGCAGCTTTTTCTACTTGGTTGGAGAAAAAGAAGTGCATCTTTATGAAGACTAGCAACTCTGAGACAGCACTAATTTGTATTATTTGAGCTATTTGTTGCAGATTCTCAAAAGAACAGTTTTGTCTAAATAAATTCAACCCACTTCCAAGATATGAATATTACATTCTAAATCTTTCACAACATCCCAAGTTTTTGATTAGATATGTCAAGTTATAGATTCACATATAAAAGTTCAGAAGTTTGATCAAACATAAAATAAGTATATTGTGATTCTGACCAGTGAAGAGAATAGTAAATGTAATATCTAAGAAGGTATAATAAGCCTTGAGGAATTATGTTGTCTTTTCTCTACTTGATGATGCATGTATTGTTAAACATGATCAGAGGTACAAGAAAGGACTAAAAGATAGTGCTTTTTAGGTTGTTCTGAATGGCACAATCCATCACATACTTGTTATTTGGTGTCTTGGGAAGCTAAAAGGCTATCCCAACTTGATCAATAAGGATTGGGTGGAAAAAGTTATAGATGTCTCTTTTCAATAGTTACAGTCCAAAGTGATAACAAGTTTTGAGGTTTCAATTTATCTTCTCATAAAAAGTCCATTAGAATTTCTCTTTATCAAAATGGAAAGTGTTTATAAAGAAAAAAAAAACATGAAGCTTAAAAACTATGCTTAATCAATGGTTGAATCCATGGAGTAAAATAGGATATTGATGGGTCCCCTTTTTTCTTTTTTTGAGACATTGAAGGAAGGGTCCATGTAATTCTACAAAAAAAAATAAAGTTGGAAAAATATGATTTTGAAGGAAGGAATATGACCTTTCAAATCATACATGTACAAAATGAGCTCCATTATACTCATTAGTGATGTCACCATGTAGGTTGGCTTCATACATCTAAACCCTTAAAGTGGGATCATCATCACATAAGTACCTTTGATGATGTAGTGATAATAAGCATGCATGTAGAACCATCATTTCAAGAATGTGTTCATGGCATACCAATATCTATCATATTTGGATTATTGTTCATGGCATACATGAAATATTATGCACAAGTTAGGAGATTTGAGAGATTTCATCTACTAAAACAATAAGATTAAGAAGTAGTGTGATTTCTGGGATCAGAAAGTATGCTTGCTATAAAGAAAAGACCTCCAATCCTTCAACCTTCCATCATCTCCTTTGTTTCTTGTGCTGCAAATCAACCTCAATTCCCTATTCATTCATTAGTCTCAAAATCCACATTATGATTCTTACCTAATTCATTAATGCTAGACAGCAAGAAAAGCTTGAACCAACCAACAAGCAAACAACTGTGATCTCATAGTCAACTTGAGATCACATTTTCAATAAAATTAATGGTTAGTAAAACAAACTTTAGTAATTTATGAATCTTCTCCTTCACATGACAGTCTTTTTTTCTGTATAGAATAAGGATTGCCCTACAAAAGGAATATTCTCAGGTTAAACAAGAAGGAAAAGCAGCTAAAGTTATTTATTATATGCATCCAAGATAATAACAAAAAGGTCAGCACTTCAGCTTATCCTCTTTAATAACCCTCACCCCCCAAAAAAAAAAAAAATAAAGAAAAATATTAATATTACTATCCTATTATCATCTTTAAAAGATCTTCCAATTAATTATATTATATGCTTCATTTTCATTTGGAATCAATTCTTAAGCACAAGATACTGCCATTTTCCTAATGAGTGTTCCCTTTTCCCTCCCTCTTACCTAAAGAGCTATGGCCCCATGCAAGCAACAAAAAAAAGAAGAAGAAAAAGAAAGAAAAAAATCCAAGCTTTAATCACCACTACTTAATGGTGTTAATTCCACTAATTGGCACATCCATTGGGTTTGCATTAGCATTCATTATGCCTGACTCATCAAAAAACGATGAGAAATGTGAGACCAGAAAGAGCTCATGGAAGTTGATGATTAAGCAGTAGGCCAAGTTTTGAGAGCCTAACTTTACCTAAGAAGTTGATGACAACAATGAGAACAAAGTCGTGTGAGATTTATAATGTTGGATCGATTCCTTTACCGAAACGTCGTAAAGCTTTGCATGCTACGAAAGGGGGGGGGGGGGGGGGGATTTATTCCTTCCCATCGAGTGTGGTGAGGATTCGTCATTGCATGTGGATGCCACGTGGGGATGGGGAGATAGCGAGGCTTACATCAATTCCTCTCTTCACGTGAAAAGAATTAAAGATAATGCACCAACTTTTGTTTTCTTTCATCAAATTTATTTATTGTTATATATGTATATGTATTTTACTTTTCCGAATACTTGTCGTGAGTGCTTATATTTTTTTTTCAATTTAGTATAAATCCTTTTATGGCAATTTTAATGATTTCTCCGTGTCAATAACTTGTCCGTATTTTTTTTTTAATTTGATGGTAATATCGTTGATGTTTGAAAATGTATCAAATTTAGAAAAATATAAAAAGTTATTTTTAGGATCAATTATTAAAAAAATTAGTTTTTATTATTTCTCACAAATCATCCCTTTTTAATTTATTTCCTAGAATACCTCTTTTTTTATCATCTTTACTATTAGCATCCACCTCACCGTGGGCGTCTCCACCCTATTGTGACTATCTTTGTTTTTTATGATTGTTTCCTTTGTCACGTCATTATTGAGACCATTAAGGTCCTTGTTTATCACTATCGCTCGTTGCCAGCATCACCCCAATCCTCACTGGGATGTGTTAGTGCTAGCAATTAGAAACAACAACATGGCGAATGAGATCGATGCGATAGTAGTGATAGACAAGAGTGAGGAAGTGATCGAAGACTTTAGCAGCCTTATGAGGATACGACAAAAGGGACAATCATAAGGGGTGAAAGCAATCATAATAGGGCAACGGGACGAAGGCAACTACAACAAAAAGAGAATACAATGGGCCAAGGGTAATCTTATCCTTTAGAAAATAATAAATACTATATGAAAATAAAGTGAAAAAGAAGAAGAAAAAAAATGAAAACTTCAATTTTTTTTAGAATTTACCCTTATTTTTATCATATAGAATTGTAGACTCCTCTGGATATAAACTTGAGATAATTGATTAATATATCTTATAAATAATGGATGGTTTCAATAGATCTGGCTTTACACCACTATGCAATTACTACTCTTGAAAATAAAATATTAGCAATAGATAAAGATATTTACAAGTTATCGTACAAGTTAAGTCCCATTTATATATTATATATAATTTTTGAGATAATCTCTTATTGATCGGTTAAAATTTTGATATGATAGTATTTATACATGATAATATTATTGTAAAAGTGTCAGCTAATTTGGCTAGTAAAAATCAAATCCTAACAAGTCTTGAGCTCACTTAAAAAAAAAAATAATTTGATATGATAGTATTTATGCACGACTTTTAATTAAAACAACAATTGCACCTTATAATCTTTATTTTAAGAATTTGAGATTGATAATTAATTCCTTGAGAGCATTAACAGAGTCACCAAGTTATTAAGGTACACTAAGAAATGAGAATGTATCAGGTCAGAAAGAAAGACGAGAACCAAATCCATTACAAACATGACAAGTTCTGATTCTACCCATCCAATGAAATCCTACACATGGAACACTGGCACGAACCTAGAAGAGCAATCAGAAATTTTGGTCCAGAAATAGGTGGTACATTCATCATCATAAGCTTGAGAGCATAATCGTTGTTTCCACAATCCCATATTCAAGAAAATAAAACAGGATTCGAATAACGTATCAAAAGATTTAAGAAGCATATACTATCGCACACTATTAGCTCCCTCTAAGGGTCAAATTAGGCCTGATGTTCGGCTTTTCTTCTTGGTAAGGCTTCGTTGATGGATCAGTCACACTAGGAAGCCGTTGGACGCTCCCCTTCCCTCTCCTGGCATTAGGGCCTATTACCTCTATCATGTACTTCCAACCATCGACAGGCCGCCTCCGACTAAAAATATGAGTTTTGATGAAGCTAGAAATCTGCATTAGGCATCGACTTGTTTGAGAAGCACAAAAGATAAGGCAAGATGATTATGATTGACAATAATGATAGAGAAATTACTTATGAAGTTTGTGCATCCATGGGTATGCATGCATCAGCGAAAGTGATGTACATGAATCCAAATACAGATTAAAAAAAAGTTACAGCAGAGAGAGAATTAAGACAACTTGAGTCATTTCAATCTCAGGGTTTTGACAGCCCAAAATTTTTGTTACCGGATATTACCGATTGTGTGTTGGCATACCTGATATTTGCTGAAGGCAATCCGGCGCTCGAATTCTTGGAGGAGAATATCCTCTTCTCTTTGAGATATTTCCCATATATTTCCATCTTGACTTTTTGACGTTGTCTCCCAACCATCGGGCTTAGTTTTGAACTCTGTGGTGCTAGGAATCTTAGAATCATTCAGCCCAATGTTCCCGGAATCAAAAATCCTGCATTACAGTGACAATCAAGATAAGACATGCTAAGTGTTTGAGCTGCAGCCTGAAGCAGATAGGACAGCACTAACAATTCATATATAAAGACAAAAGATACCAAAACCTTGGGGAATACAGGTGATAGTAGAATGCATGAGAAGACAATACTTCTTAATCATCATTTATTAGACTGAAATTGGTTTTCCTATTGCAAAGGCAGCTCTGATGACTTATGAGTTTCATTAATAGTTATCCTCAATCAATTTAAATATATGAATTTATGACCTCTAATTCGCAGCGATTTTTTTTTTTTTGGTGAAAATCAGATGTTTGGTAACTCAAAATGAACCTTCTATCAGCAAAATGCAAATGAATTAGAATATGGACCCTTAATGGCTCACACTATACTATAATTAGTCGTCAAATTTAAGAAAACCTTTTAGTAGGCTAGACTTCACTAGTCTTAATGTCTCTCTATATCAAATAGAATAATGTAACCCTCCTTGAATGTTTTTTTTGCCAATATATTGGATAGTGTAGTTTTCAAATTACCATGCCAAGGTGGTCTCATTTCCTAGTCCATTAAATTCATGAAGACAATTCATATGTTCCTAAATAATTTAATTCTCTTAGTATTTTGTCAAGGAAATTAGCCATAGCAAACAAATTGAAATGGATAGGGGGAATAAAACAAATGGTACTCAAAAAGACAGGAACTGTTACAGCAGTTTGGACTTAAGACACTATAGAGAAGAAACAAAAAGCAACGACAAAGATTAGAATAAACATCACAACCAACAGAAAGAATCTTGAAAAAAATATACTCCGTAGAGCTGAAAGCTTGGTAGATCATTTTCTCGATCATCATGTTGCACCATAGTATGCTTGTAATAAATGATGGTATAACAATTCAAATCTGGTAACAAAATTACGTAACTATCTTTTCTCTTGGTTTTGCATAACAAGGTAGACTTTACTTAGACTAAAAAACAGACATTAGCATAAAAGGGTATCAACTGGGATAGCAACACAATTCAATCAAGGAACTATTATAACAATATGCATAAATATGAACGTACAGATCAAACCAAGACAACAATCTAAAAGGAGCCTTGTTTGCTAGCTACATTTTTTCAAAAGATTTGTAACAGAATTACTGTTTAGAATAACTTATGATCACGAAGGTATAGAGTTAGAAGAAGAGACGATCCAAGAAGTTAATGCAAATGCATGCCGGATAGAAATAGCTTGATCGAACACAATGACTGTTAGTGTTGCATTACTCTAATAAGAAATATAGATTGATATTCCAACCTACCATCTGATTACACTCGACAGAGAAAGATAAGTAGAATCAAACATTTGCCATGTCAGCTCGCAATACTAAGATCTTGCTTCGTACATAAACTAACTTAACTGTACATCCATTGATGGTTCCCGAATAAGCATTCCAAGCTAGGGCACAAGCAGAGAGATTGATTTAAGGAAGAAGTTGTTCTTTCAATATAAATTGCTACTTTACTTTGTTAAATGGCTGATTGTGGATAGTAAAAAGGTCTTCTAAGCTTAACTAAACTGAAGTTAGGGATGCCATAAGAATGAAATCAAACACAAGATTAATAAAAACTACATGATCCAATAGGTCAATGCATGATGTATTTAGTGACCGTAGTTACTTTATGGAAAATTGTGGGAGCCTGCTACTTTTAAAAAGTCTAAATCTTTAACTAACACATTTATCTCACCAAGTCCTCTCTATTACCAAAAAGGAAAATGGGATCCAACAGGTACATTGACTTTGGTTTATGTAGAGGGTCCGTAAAGAGAAAGCTAATGGTCTGTGTAGAAACTCGCATCAATGTTGCTGTGCCACATCCCAATTAACTACTTGATTGATGATTCCAGCACAATCCTATATCCCATGAATTTCTTGTATTTGGCCAAAAAAACCTATAGTTCTTCTCTATTTTTATCGCACAAGGCTGCATTCCTATCCAGACAAAAAGTTTGAAGTATAAGAACTAGCAGATATATATATTCTGCTCCTGTATTCGGCCTCTAGATCTAGTATACATCTAAGTTTCCTTCTTGCCCGAACTGCATAGATATTTAGTTGGGAGCAAAGGTAGCAGCCATTGTTCTATTCCATGTGGCTTTCTGTACTATTTATGGTCCATTGATACAAGATGATACACTGTATGAAGTCAATAGAACCACATATTTCGTTTTCCATGATTCCTACATCCAAAACATCCAGATGAATATTGGCAATATTTTGTTTCTTCGATATACACAACACAAAATTGGACTAAATACTAGCAAGATTAATAGGCATCCAAGAGTGGAACATGAGAGACAAAATCCAATTGCCATCAAAATCGATTGATCCATGTCTCGAACAAAATAAAATTCGAAAGAAAGAACAAGTTAGAACCAGAGGCAACGATATGCATCTTCCAAAAACTCAAATCCCTTATTTAAATGCACTTACTCGGAGCAGGAATCAAGAAGGCGGTCAATGTCGTCGCTGGCGTTGGCACCCCCCAGCTTGGCTTCTTCCAACTTTTCGATCTCCTTCATCCACAGGCCGGAGTGGATCCTCTGCTTCCGAACCCTATACTCATCTGCGCCCTTCTTAGCGCCTCCCTCTGCCCGCTCCACCGACTCTGTCCCCTGCTGCGACCTCCTGGCGCCACGGCGCTCGCTCCACCGCTCGTTCATCTCGGCGACGAAGGCCTGCGTGTCGGCGTCGACCTCGGCAGGAGGGACAACATCAGCGCCGGCAGAGGTGTCGGAGGGGCTGGCAGGCTCCCAGGGAGCGCGGTCGTCGGCGGGGGAGAGGTCGTCGGGGAGCCAGGCAGTCTCCCAGGCGTCGTTCCACTCATCGTCGCCGGTGGCGGAATTGGGGGAGGAGGAGCGAGGCCGTGTGGAGAGAGACTTTCTTGATCCAATTATCGCAGTGGCGACGGTAGGAGGACGGAGTTTGGGAGCGGACTGGGAGAGGAGGCGTTTAAGGGCGTGCATGCCTCAGGTGTTCGATGAAAGGTTTGTGAGAAAAGCTGGAATAGTCGTCCGTTAATATCCCAGAGGGCTGGAACAGTCGTCCGTTAATAGCACTTGGCGGACGGACTCCCCAGAAAGCCCAAAGGCTTGAAACGGACGACCCAAAACCCAATAAAAAATCCGCTTCCGGTTCGGTTCGCTTCGACCGGTTCCGGGTAGATTAATTGTCTCCGCGCTCAGGATTAGGGTTTTTGGGATCTCGTATATAACAGCGCCTGCGTCCCCGTTCGCCGCCCACTTCGCGCACCTCTTTTGATCTCCGCAGGCGAGCGCCGGAGGCGGCTGAGGAGACGAACCAGCCATGGTGCACGTTAGTTTCTACAGGAACTGTAAGCCGCCCTCGGCGATCTCTCACTCAAGAACCTTTGGATCTTCGGTTTTTTCGATCTCATTTTCTCTCGTTTTACCCTCATGAAGTGGATCTAAAACCCGTCAAGTTTCCTTGCTCTCCTTCTGATTCTTGGCATGTATGTTTCATTTCTTCTCTAAAACTTGTTTATCTTGATGGATACCCTCATTAGGGTTTTGATTTTGGTTGAGCGGATCTTGTTTCTGTTGTGGTTTTTTTTGTCTTCCTTATGATTTCTTGGTGCGTCGATCGTTTCTTCTCTGAAAATCTAATTTTTGCGATGAGAACACTTCTGGGTGTTGTGATTACGTCTCGATCTTTTCAGATGGGAAGACCTTTAAGAAGCCCCGTCGTCCCTACGAGAAGGAGCGGCTCGATGCTGAGCTGAAGCTGGTGGGCGAGTATGGGCTCCGCTGCAAGCGGGAACTCTGGAGGGTCCAGTACGCCCTGAGCCGAATTCGTAACGCTGCCAGGGATCTTCTCACGCTCGACGAGAAGAACCCTCGTCGGATTTTTGAGGGAGAGGCCCTCCTTCGCCGGATGAACCGTTATGGGCTCCTCGAGGAAGGCCAGAACAAGCTCGATTACGTCCTGGCCCTCACCGTGGAGAACTTCTTGGAGCGCCGCCTGCAGACTCTCGTCTTCAAGTCCGGCATGGCGAAGTCCATCCACCACGCTAGGGTACTCATCAGGCAGCGTCACATCAGGTATCGATTATTGCTCTGTTCTTTTTTCTTTTCCTTTCTATGTTTTTGGTTTATTCGATAGTTTTACATGCATTCTAATTAAATGAGTAGAACTTGTATGCATCGACAGTTTTTAATATGCTTCATTTTTATTGGCATCTTTTAAATACAATACTTTCTTTAGATTCTGTGGTCTTTCATTGAGGCAGTTAACATCATTGCTGGGGTAGTACATTCCTGTAGTCAAAAAGCTAATTTCATTTGCTTTTGTTGGTCTATGTATATTATCATGGATTTGGTGTAATTTCTGCATTGAGCTATTCCTTGAACAGTATTATTTACAATAATGCTGAATTAAACTATTCGGAAAGTAATCTAATAATATATCTAGTTATTCTGCCAAATTACAGTCCTCATAGTGTTAGATGGGATTCTTAAAATAATCTGTTTTTAATATCTGGTAATCTAATATCAATCTGTTTTTAAGACACTCCTTTCGTTCTTTTTCTTGAGCTTTTACCTCATTTAAAATGAAAATTTTTTTGGCCACTATTTTCCTCTTTGAAAAAGATTCTATAATTTTTGTTTAATCTGTTGCTCCTATTGTGATGATCTAATATGGTTGATCTTGGTAAATACCTCTAATAATTTTGAAGTCTTCAGACTTGTAAAAGATTATGTTAAGTGACTTCTTTAAACCATGACCAATAGGTAGTGTTTGCATATATAGATTTCTTGTTTATATTAGTAGTCCAGAGAATTAGCATGCCTGGTATTATCTAGGCTGCTAAGACCCTTGTGGCAGGCTTCCTAAGCAGATTAGGACAACATGCAGGCAATTCCTTTGTGATCTTAAAAACAGATTGATATCTGACATTTTGTTATTATTTTAGAAATAGATTGGTTTAACTTGTTCTGTATTATGTATTATCAATTTTTCTTTGAACTCTTTCAAATTCCTGATTATTTTTGCAGACTTGTCTATCTTTATGGCATGTCTTTCTATACTTAGTTGCTACATTATCATTTCTGTGGGTTTGCCTTGTCATGCTGTTCGGAATACCATATTTTCTACTTGTCATATGTTTGAACTAAATCTGCAGAGTTGGGAGGCAAGTGGTTAACATCCCATCGTTCATGGTGAGGGTGGATTCAGCAAAGCACATTGATTTCTCCCTTACTAGTCCATTTGGTGGTGGACGCCCCGGAAGGGTGAAGAGAAGGAATCAGAAGGCAGCAGCAAAGAAGGCAGCAGGAGGCGATGGTGATGAGGATGATGAAGAATGAGCAACATGCATTTGTGGTAATGGAATTGTGATAGCATTTTTTTCTTTTGGATGAATTTAGTTTCAGTTATCTGAAGGTTTCGTAGAAGTGAGAACACATAAATTTACCCCTGAATGACTTTTAATGCTTTTAGAGTTTGAGATGATGGCTTTTGACAGATAAATTTTATTTGGCTTCAGTTGGTAGGTGTTTTGTATGTTGTGGCGAAGAAGCTAATTCCAGAAAAAAAATCCAACCTGCTATTGTCCCTAACGTACATAAGGAATAACACTGATCCCAATTAACTGCTTAGGTATGTGATCCAAGAAGGCGACTTGAGACCAATTTTGCTATCCAAGCCTGTTCCAAACACAATTAAAGGATACCCGAAACTGTTTAAATAGGTTGGGTAGACAAAAAAAAAACAAACTTGCTGCTGTTCCTGCTGTGCTCTCTAATGAATTTGGTCGAAGCAATTGACATTTTGTTGGTCAACTTGATTTTGTTTATCTATGGTCAAATCATTCTTTGGGGCACATGCAATATGCAGATTTGAGACTTGGTTGGTGCTAATGTGTCGTTTGTTATCTGAGTTTTGTTTTTGCGTTGTGCCTCTTGTTGATTGAGTTGTGTTTTCTGTTCAGTTTGTGTGTAAGCCGTGCAAAGGAACGGTTAGATCTTTATTCATATATTCTACTACTTTTAAAAGCATTTAAATTATTTTAAACATTTTCTCATATTTTATCCTTTGTTGAAATTACGAGGTATTTAAATTTTCTACCATCTTAACTAGTGTTCTCTGATTGCATCTTCAACTAACTTTTCATTAAAAAAGAATTCAGTTATTAGCCCACCCTATGAAAAATTCACTTGTTTGGGGATATAATAATGGGTTTACCCCTTAACTTCTTCGTGTACATTATCTTTTATGTTCCTAACTATAGAATGAGGAGGAAAGAAGATGGAGCAGGAAAATACAAATAGATAGCTAAGCCTTCATTTATCAACATCTCTCTCTCTCTCTCTCTCTTAGCAAGTTAGGTTGGATCGTCTGGATTGGGAGTTTCCTGGTAGAACATACACATGAACGTGATGTTTACTTCCTACCCACCTACACTATGCATGCTGGTGCGTAAACTGCCCCAAGTTGCAACATGTCCCGCTTAAAAATGAACATAACTGTATAATTGCAGTAGAAAACTAGTATTGTCAAAGGATAAATATCTTGCATATATAATCATTACAGGGTTTGACAATGGTACCTGCATAAATGCTGCCACAAATTTGTAATCGATGCTTACGAAAACTGGATTTAGTGAAGGGCACATCATGTGACAATGCATGCTGAGAAGAGACATCATGCCTCTAGCGACGATCCAAATGGATACCAACTGCAGTTTCAATACGGACATCATCATCATCATCATCAAGTGCCAAATGCTGCATATAGTCAAAGAAAATCTACTTGGCCACTTTGAAGTTCTTGCCATCGCTCTTTGTAGACCGGATACTGCTACTTGAAAGCTTGGTATATGGTACCAGACGATGAAACAAACCAATATGAACAGCCTCTATCATGTGACCAGAAGGATGAAGAATCTGTGGTGTCAACAGAGATGTCGAACCTTCAGGATCAATTTATTCTTCTTATCCAATGAACCTTACAGAAGAATCTTTCTCTGTTATTCTGATTCTCGTTAATGGGAACAAGCAAATCTACTAGAGGATGCTAACTGACCAGAAAAGCATGGTGTAGAATGAACACATTCTCGACCACCTGTGCGAGTGGCTCCCGTTGACATGGATCTATTATATTCCATGGTCAGGTACTCACTGTAAGAACCAGCCCGCTGCTGATGACGCCAACAGTTGGGACACATCATATATCTCCTTGGCAAATGTAGTTCTCATTTATGATGCCAGGGTGATGCTCATGCTAAGAAAACCTAAGCAGATTATGGATCCCATCACCATCAGGCTGAACACAGGACTCACCGGACGTATGTACCTGGTGAATATTGACCTTGTACAAGTCATTAACTGTGGTGGCATTTGAAAGTCCAATTGCGGAACTGATGGTATTTGTTGGGGGAGCTGGAGCTGGAGCTGGGGCCTCCACGGTCTTATGCACATGACGGGAAGGTCTTTTTGCCACACTACCTGGCAATAAAGCCCTCGTGTCTCTTCCCCTCCGCTTTGTTCCGAGAAACCCACATGCAAGAGCTTCTAAAGCTTTGGTAGTTGGAGGTCGGTTCCTGGTACTCTGCCTCCGAGAATTGACCAGAGGCTGCTGATCACCAGGTTCTTCAGTAAGATTCTCCACTGCCCCAAAACCATCAAGCTGCTGCTTTGTTTCTGTGAGGTTTACAGCTTCCACTTCATTCAGATCATGCTGACTGCCAGCCAACTCTGAGTTGAGATGTTCGCCATTCTCAAAATCCAATGGTACATTTAGATCAATCAAATTTCGTGATCCAGGCTTTCCATCACAGAATGTTGCCTCGAGTGTAGCAGCATTACCGCAACATTCTTCCTTAAAATCACATTTTTCCAACTGACCTGGACCAGCATTGGTTGAAATTTTGGGATGCATGTCTCCAACAATATCATCACTTGCTTTCTGTGCACCCAACTTGGGCTGAGCTCCTTCCTCCATTAGTTTATGGCTATTCAAAAGAGAGTAAGCACGGTGACCACTTTGTTCCTTGCAGGCAGTCAACCTTCTTCGTTTAGGCATAGGTGCTAAATAAGACTGTCGTTCAGATTTTGCCCTGCGGCTGAATTGAGACTTGGTATCTTTTATGTGCAGCTTTCCATTTAGCTGACCAAGGCATTGATCACTTGAAATGTAACCATTCGTTGGTACTATTGTGCTTGATAAAGTCAGTGCATTCCCAGATGGAGCAGCATGCACTGCCTTGTCAACGATGCCCTTGCTGCTCACTTTGGGCTTCTTATTGTCAAATGCGTCTGAATCATAGTCTCCTTGATCATCTGATGAACTATCATCTGAATCTCCTGAACTATCACTTCCTGTTTGTCCTGTATGAGTTAAAGGACTGCAGTTACTCAAGGCCTCAATGGGTAGACTCCTCAGTTCTCTCACCTTAAATGGTTCATCAGCTTGCACCAAACTAGTATCCACAATAGTGAACTTCATAAGTTCAGAATTGTAAATTGAAACCTTAGGACGGAGGTAGTGGTGACGTTGACGATCAAGCAGACCATTTTGGATCGATTCAGTATCCATGGCACACCCATTTTCATCCTTAGTGCCATCAGCTCCTTCAACCTCTAACTCCACAAGGCTGGGGTCTGATGCTACTTTATTTAGGACATCACTAACGGAATCAAAGTAGTGATGACCTTTGACAAGTTTTTTTCTCGAGAATTTCTTTATACCAGGGACAAGAAACACTAATGCATGCTTGGAACTAACATCTTTCGGTTGTTCTGAGTGCCATCCCCTGGCTAGCAGACGAGGCCAAACAGCTTCCCAAAACAGATCATTTGACTTTGCCTTGCTTAACCTAAAATCACCTGTTAGAATCTTGATGATGTCTCCAGACGTAAGAGAAGAACATGCTTTGCCAACAGGAATCTCAGACCGAATAGATAGTGACTGATTTGATCTAACTGGATCCGAGATAATGGAAGTGAGGTCATGTCCTTTTCCAATTCCGATGGCTTCAACTAAAGCTTGCAAACCAACTGTTGTCTTTAAAGTACAAACAAATTCTTCCAAAGAAACCCTGCCCTCATTAAGTATATTTGTGGCCTGAAGAAAAAAAGAGTTGCAACTTTAAACAGAGAATATCCAGAAATGAACACAAATGTAGTATCTGTATAAAATGTAAAGCTTGTTTCTAACATTAAACTAATCCTTGTTCCTTTCAGGTTAACGAGATCAACAGAGAACAACAGAAAGCTACCTCCAGAATGAAGCGACAGAAACAAAAACGTTATACATAAAACTGGAGATAGCATTTATGCAATTTTTAGTCACCAAAGAACAAGATGAACAATACACTTTTTAAGGGTTTAAAGAACTCTAAACCTTACACTAATCAGGAACTAAATATTTTTGACAGTTGTGTCTTCAATCAAGAGTGACTCTTGAACTGTTGAAAAATTTTCTATATAATCCTTTCTAGCTGAGGCAACAAAACTCTTCTTATATAGTGCATCTCTTCTTTGTTTGTTAAAGCAATTATATTTTCTAGAGCAAATTATATATAAAAGAGAAACTTCAACTCATGTTCTTTTTTGTCATACTACTATAATCTTCAAATCATCAGGTTTCTATATAATCCTTTCCAGCTGAGGCAACAAAACTCTCTTCTTATATAGTGCGTCTCTTCCTTGTTTGTTAAAGCAGTTATATTTTCTAGAGCAAATTATATATAAAAGAGAAACTTCAACTCATGTTCTTTTATAGTGCATACTCTTATAAAGGTTTTGTCATACTACTATAATCTTCAAATCATCAGGTTTAACAATGGCCTTAAATATAAACCAATTCCAACAGGCTGAAGTTTAAAAATAGTGCATTTTTTACTTTTTCACAAACTTCACCACCCATCAAAAGCAGACAGATCAAATGCGAGGGAGAATAGGATAAAAGCCACAAAAGTAAAAGTCCGAGTCCCACAGTAATCATGAAAAGGCCACAGGAGAGATTAAGTTAAAAACATAGACATGGATTTCCTGAGCTTTCTATTGTATAGTATAATCATGAAAAGGCCACAGGAGAGATTAAGTTAAAAAAGCTGCTTAAGACAGAATGAATCCTCAAACTAGATATAAGCAGGAAAATCCGCTCCCACAGTAAAAAAAAAAAAAAGATTATCTAGAACAGGATGTACTCAAAATTCCAATAAAAAACTTTCATCCTTTGATGTAAGGCACTACTTTCACAAAAGTAATCATGCTGCAAATTGACCAAACTTAAGGGCTAGAACCAAAAAATCTACTGTTTTATGGGTGAAATCCATTCCCCAGAGTTGACTTGTATTTTGCATTATGAACCTACATTGGTCACTTGTAAATCCTTGAGATATTAATAAATTCCTCTTTGGCAAAAAAAATCCCAATCAAACGAATATCAGATTCCAAAAGGATGTTCTTCGTGTAGACAATTCCTATTGAGGCCAAATAGCAACATTTAACAAAGTTCAAAAGGCTAATTTAATGATCATCATGGTTCATGTCTCGAGAGGAGGCTCATCAACTAGTATACTCAAAGTAGTAAGAAACGCAAAAAAGACTTTCCTTTATTCGTTGACCAATAAATTACAACAAAAGATCATTCAAGATGTATGAAGAGTAACTGAAAGTCTGAAACAAGAAGTGGGGGTATAACCATAAGATAGATCTCAATGGAGAGCTAGCTTAAGTAATGGGATATAAAACAAAGATGCTTCAAATTGTGTGTTGTCTCGAATTTAAATATGTGCCAAACACTGACATTTGTAGAGTATTTTTTAGATGAATGTCAGATACTTTTTAAGAGTTTCCAATTGTTAATGTTCATTTTCAAAATTTACATTCAAAAGATTCGATAGATACTTTGTCAATCTTTATTTCATAAGGTCTGGTTAAGTTAGATCAAGCTTTTTCAATTCTAACTTGACTTAATATTGTTGGCGATTCTACTATCAGGCCTCATCCTAGGGCAGTCTCTGACCATTGTCCTATATTAATTTTGTTCATGGTATATGAACAAAATTAATAGTCAACTTGTTTTAGAGGAATAATAGTCAACTCGTGGCCTCATTGATTTGAATATACCAAGCTATCCTATCCTATGTTTAGAACAAATTTCATGCTCTACTTAGGCAAATTAACTTAAAATGGTTGGCTAACTAAATGGATTAGTAAATGGAACTAATATACCAAATATTGTCACAATTTGATTTCTCCGTGTCATAGATGTGATTTTATTCATCACGTTAAGATTCAAAATGACATTGCCAAAAAACCAAGTCTTACTATGAATGAATTTGTCTCCTTTTACTACAACTTGTCAAATAGTAGTGAAACTGTTGATGAGGGAGGGATGGGACGGCCCTAGGTGGTTGGATATCCAAATCAAGAAACAAAATATAGTCATTCTCCTTTTATTAGTATTGAGATCTATGAGGTTGTGAGGTTTTAGTCTTTTCGAGATGGACAAGAGGCTTGGACATTTTATACGTACTATTAATACTAATAGGCTATTATTGAGGGTCCATGTAAAAGGTTCCTAAGCACTTCTATACATATCTTGGACTAGGACTTCCATTGTTTTCATTTCCAAATACAAGGTTCATTTAAAAGTAAGGATTTTGGACTGATTTCCCATTGTAATTTTATTTTTTTTTACAGGATTTTTTTTTAAAGTTCTTTCCAACAATTCAAAACCTCTGTTAACTAGTTTAATATCTTAAGAGCAATATGCTTTTTATACTTTTATGTTTGAGTGTTCTTTTATGAAAATTACTAATTCATAATAGGATTAAGGGTTCTTTTATGTTTATTTTTTGAAATATTATAATATGTAAATTGTACTAGCTGTTATTCTTGTTCATATCTACAAAGGCACTATGGTTACTATTCTTCAATCAGGTAGTCTATTTCTTCAAAGAAAAAAATATAACGCATTTTTGTTTCCCTTTCATAAGTATTATATAAAATATTGACTTTTAGTGAGTTAATCTGATCCTGAAGTATCTTAATTTTAGCATGATTTTCATTAACATAAAGCTGAGACATGCTTAAAATGATCATCATCATAAGTGTGAAATTATGATTGAGCCCACATGGATATGGAATGGGGGGAATTCTTCTTAAGTGACAATATTGGCGGAACTAAATTTATGAAACTAACCATTTCATCCACTACTGATAATTTTAACAGGTACCATTCTTGCAAGTTGATGCTCTAAATCTAATAGCTAATCTTGACAAAATCTGGTTTCTATAATAATAGAGGGCAGTGACACAAATTCTCATTCTCTGGTTCTCGTCTGTCATTGGGCATGAGAATGAGCCTTCGAAATAAAATTGAACAGCCATAGTACATATATGTTGACAGTTTATGAGAATTTGCAGAACTTCCTTCATGCTCTAGAAGGATTTCCAATATACTCGAAACACAAATGTCTATAAGATTTCCTTAGTTGACAGATGAGACTAGAGGGTTGCCACTACACATGGACATGAGTTTAAGCTACTGCACTTCTCAACTATGAAGCTTTAATATATTACAATCAACAAGAGATAGTTATATAATTAGGAAAAAAATGCTAGAAATAGATGGAAGTACCTCCATCAGAGTGTGTTGGACATCCTTTGGTATTCTAGGTAGCACACGGGATAAAAATTCTTGTTGTCTCCATCCAGTAAAAATACGGTGTCCAAGAATGCACCTCCTGCTTCTTATCTTTCTACATTCTGACCATCTACAATAGGCCTCAGATTTGTAGAAATTTCCATAATAATGGGAGAGTATATCTCCCATCTTCTTACATTCAATAAACCTTTTCACTTGACCTAGATTCTTTCCGAAAATGTAAAGACCAAGGAGAAAACTTTGCGTCTCATCCTCACTCCAAGAGGAAGATGGTGAACCAGGCAATGCACTGTCACCATTAGCTTCACTAAATCGCTGCAGAGGAACACCACTATCCATTCTCCTCTTGTTTATAGATTCACCAAATTCTTTGCAACAATTTTGTGTGCCAATACATTCATCTTCACATGTAAGGCTACAAAGATTTCCACAATTATTTGAACTTTTTTCTGGAGATTTAGTCATTATCTTGTGTACAGCATCAGCTTGACTTTTCTCAGTGTTTCCGTAGTCCACTGACTCGCTTTTAATAGAACAGCTTTGATCAACTTTGACATCATCAGCTCGAATTTTCTCTGTGTTGGTACCAGAAAACTCTTTCTGAGCAACTTTGGTATCATCACCTACACGTTGAACCCACATAATTGAAATGGGTAATCCTACTCCAACATGATGGTCAACAGCAAGCACGTTGCTGGTACTAGTTACGCATGCTTTTACCGAAAGGCATTGTGATTCTGTTGCTAGTGGCGGAATCTCCACTTGGTACTCATCTCCTATCCGAGGACATAGTTGTGGTTCATCGTAAATACCGTTTCTGCAAACGGGATCTGGTGAAGGAAATTGGTCAGGAAATGTCCTAGCAGTTTGCTCCTCCTCCATGTAGTCCATTTCAACAGTATCCATCTGTCAACACATTGAATTGAAAGATAAAAAACAAACCTCCGCATTGCATCCCAAATTTTAAAGAGAAAAAAAGCTCAAACGTTGAATCAACAATTAAGAAAAAAGTGGTCGGATCATCCTTGAATTAACGTGCTTTTCCAGATCGTCGGTGCGCAAGTATACTTGCGTCTGCAAACAGCTATTCCCTGGAGAAAGACATGGTGTCCCAAGTATCAAGAAGGAAAACCCATAAACGATCGGTAAGCACAAAGATATCACGCCTTCGAACTAGTCGAAAGATTGATCAATATTGAACAGGTACGCTCCACCAAAAATGTTGAAGACTAGTCAAAATTAAAAGGTTCTGGATCGGGCGATCAAAAACAAGTAGCCGGCCCTAAATAGCAAGCACGAAGCAGATCCCGACGACCCCTCACATCGCGAAAAGACCACACCAGAACACGAAACCCTTCTTCAGTTTTCACCTAACAACAGCCTCGAGCAATTAGCGATCCCGCGGCCAGCGAGCAAATCACGAGGCGACGAGCCAAATCATCAACCTCCCGACCTTACACGCTGCGAATCCTCCGAAGAAGGAACACATCTCGACGACGATTTCCGTGGTGATTCACCAAATTGTACGCATCACCACGTCGACGGCCGAGGTAAAAACAAGGCGTTCAAGAAAGCTAACGAACGGGAAAAAGAAGCGAGAGCAGTACGAGATTCAAAAGAAGAGGACGCACCGAACGCTGCCCGGAGATTGGCGTCGCTTGCTGTGACTTGGACGAAACAAGGAAGAAATCAATCGACGACAAGACGAGCGAAGCGAGAGCGACAGCGAGAGAGCGAGCGGAGAGGCGGAGGTCAGAGCCAAAAATAGGTGAGTCGCTCTTATAGTTAATAGAAAAAATATATTTATTTATTTATATTTCCGAATGATAGAATGGGGGATAAAATAGAAGTGTCTAATAATGCACAGTCATTTTCGGTTACCCAATCTGTACCTGCCTTTAGACTGCAATTCAAAACCAGCCCGCGGTGATCCCCAGGTGGGTTCCACAGATCCTTCCAATCATAAGTAGGTGACCGAGTGCTGATGTCTGACGAAGATCACAAGGATGATCTAATTATAAATCAATGTTATACAGAATTTTCTATTGGACAAATAGTTATATTCAATATTAAATCTAAAAATTATTTTCATAATTTGATTCATAATAAACCAAGCAACAAAGAAATAATCTTATGATGTTGGGATGTAATTGGAATTTTCTTCCGCACAGAAGTGAAATGTCTCAGTGGGTTAGGCAGACTCCAACGACTTCGGACACGAAAGCTGTGTGCATCGGTATGGATCAGTAGGAACAATAATTGTTTGTATATTAGATATTGTGATTTTGGACTGTGGCTTTGTGAGCAGATCGATCGGCAGGCATCAGAGTCGTGACTTTGGCCGTGGCAAGAAGCATTTTATTCACGTAAGACAAGGCTGCCATGCAGGTTGCGACGGGTGGGTGTTTGCTGTCGGGTCTCACGCAGCGAACAACGGTTGGCCGACTACCGAGAGGGATCGGGTGCGAAGGCTCGGACGCCCAAGACGGTTGGCGGCGAGGCAGGAGGCGTGTGTCCAGCCAGTTTCGGACACGTGGAAGATGTTTGTTTGCTGAATTTCCTGTTTGCTGTTTGGGAAGTCCATTTTTTTTTGTCATTTTTGCATGCCCTTTGGTTCTTGCAAGAAAAATTATTATTATTTTTATATTGTAAAGGATGGCATGACCTCTCTTAATCATTGTCCAACAGTGACATACACATGTCTAAATAAAGAGATCTTTTTGACTAAAATGTGTGAGATAGGCTTCTTATCCCTTCGTAAGCCCATATGGTTTGGACTCTCTACAACAGAATGATGAACTCGATCGAGGCCCGACATATAGATGCCCAATGTTCTATTCGATCCAAGGGGCACGTTAAGAATGACGCTCTCTCCAACCATGATGAGGAGGTGTTATTGCGATTACGAACAGATCTCTCTTTCATTCGGCTGGTGGAAGAAGCCACCATGATTGGGTTACACTGGCACAAAGTCCATCGGTCCAAGCCATGCAAAATCCATTAGCCACCGGTCCAAAACTCGACTTGACGGGAAGATCATTTGCTCCCACACCATGTCCCATTCCTCCCTTCACCTCCCCCTCTCCCTACTCTCTCTCTCTCTCTCTCTTGGTGGAAAGCAATCTATTATTCCTCCTACGTTTCTATGGCAGACGCAACACGGATACGGAAGTGAACTTGCTTCCCTACCTCGGTGGAGATCGAGAGAGTACGTACGTACGTACGTACGTCCAGTCTGCAGGATGTAGATTTCCTCGTCTCTACCTGCCTATACAACGTAGGAGAATGCTGTCTCTCCCTCGCTACTGTTCCCTTTCCTTCGGGTGAGCCACGTTTCGGAGATGGTAGACGACGGCAAGTACTCAGAACAGCAAAAGATCACAAGAGAATATTGAAGTGTGCTACAGTGAACACACTCCACTGTTCTCCCCCTCTCCTTCTTCCTTCCCTTCAACGAGTCACGTTCCGAAGATGGCATGAGACTTCGAGTACGCAGAATGCAGGAGATGAAGGGAGAATATTACGTGTAGAACAGTGAACACTGTTGTGTGAGATACACCTCTAAGAACACTGTTGATTTAGGTAAGAAGTGGATGATCTTAATTTCGATATACACATCGAAAAGATTGTTGACACAGAATTTTTCAGTCGTGAGGAATGGAATTAACAGTAGTTGACAAGCAGAATATTTGTACTCGTACATCTTTTCCTGTGGACTTGCAATGGCCACTGTTTTAGGTACACAGGGAACACTACTGCCTTTGGAGGCGACGTGCAACTTCTTCGTCACTCTATTGTTCTTAGTTCGTTCTTGGTCTCTTCATGGGGCATTATTTGATTGACAGTTGATGATTTCATTGTCTTTTTAACTCAAATTTACTTTGGTTTAATGAGAGAAATATTAACGATAATGTTATATAACATTGGTTTAACGAGAGAATATTTCTTTTATATGTTTTACCGATGTGGAACTTAAGAAGTATTTACGATTTAATGAGAAAAATATTTCATGTGTCATCGATAAAAAAATAATGTTAATATTATGGTTTTTATAGTTTTGACCAATTTATTAGAATTTGATTGAGATAGTAAGGATGAAATGGACGAAGGTAAAGGATTGAGATTAGAGGAATGGGGATGTCATGGTCCGCATACACTCGATACATGTACTTACACATGATACATGTACGTACATAGTTTAGAGCCGGTAAGTATAATACTTGGAAGTAATCATCATGAACAAGAATCTTATTATGTGGACAATATAATGTAAATGGATAAGTGAAGCCATCAAGATAATCTTGAATGATCATATGAAATCATAATCAAAGTAACAATTTCTCTCTATCGTCACTATCGTCATCTTCTCCTCCTCCTTCTTCTCTCTCCGTCACTTGTGCGGCACAGTGGCACTGTGCGGCACTCGCAGCATGCGGCGGAAACCCACTGCACACACCCCTCTCTCTCTCTCTCTCTCTCTCTCTCTCTCGTGCACTCGCAGCAGCAGCAGCAGCAGCAGCACCACACCACACCTCACGTACAGCCTAGTGTCTTCGCTCGCTCACCCACACAAAAAGGCCACTGTTCTCCCACCCCTCTCTAACGCTACTCCCTCACCCGCGCGTTGTGAACCCAAAGTCAAAGTAGTATAAAGACATCCCCCAAATCCCGGGCGACCTATGCTGTGGACAAAAGCATATGTGTTTTGGGTGTCGTGCCACTTATATTTCCGCTACACTTGGGTGTGAAGAAGAACTGTCCGCTTGTTGTCTATTTTCCTCCTCTATTTTGTTGTTGTTGTTGTGTTTTTTACTGCACCCATTCAAGTTATCCCCCTACTCACGCCCTATTTCCCTTCTCTTCCTTTGCCTTGCATTATATCAAACACTTGTAGACCACCTTTTCCTCACACCTTTTTAGATGGGCTTGACTCTCCTGTGACTGCTAAACTCCTTCGTTCCATTACCGATGCCATGTACATGGTGTTTATCACCATTATATCCCAGAAAAAATTCCCCGCAAACCATGCCTTTTTCTAAATATGCGTGTGTTCTTCTGCTTTGTTCCGTCGACAGGGTTAAGAGTGGGCCAAAAAGGTCATTCTCAAAAGTAATACTGTAATTGCGGGTGGAGCTGATTTCTTATCCTATAATGGGAGAGAGAGCTCATCATATGCATCAAAGTTCTCAAGACCTGAGTGGGGAAGTCAATGGTCATAGATTCCAAGACCGACCGTGTCGTATCATGCGGGATTTAAAATGCTAATGCAAGCTCCGGTGTGAGCTGTTGTTGCAGCAGCTGCTGTTGCTTCTTCTTCTTCTTCTTTTGCTAACCCAACACACACACACACCTGCATGGCGTACTTTTTGTAACAGTGGCAGGACTGAGATAGGGAAACAAGGAAAGAAATGAAGTGTGTTTTTTTTTTTGGGTGATTCCAGCAACAGTTGTGCGAGTGAGACAGTGAGTAGGGACAGTGGCCTTAATTTCGAGTCCGGTGTTCTTCCATCAAATCTCTTTTATGTTGGGACAACTCATCTGTTTCCACTTCTTGCCTCCATGTACTTCCCAGGCTCTCTCATCTGTCCCACATTCCCATTCTATATGTCGATCCTTTTCCTCTCTTTTTGACTGAAATGTCTTCACGTCTCCTTTCCTAATGGCTTTTGCGAGACACGAAAGCTCAGCTTCTGTTGCTTACCAATGTCCGAAATGATTATCTTCGATTAGGAACTAAGAAATCATCAGCACAGTTCCACTTCGCTCATCACATGAAGCAGACAGAAGAAAAAGGGGGGTGGGGGGAGAGGGGAAGGCAGCATTAAGGTAGTCAAAGGGAGGAGACGCATGGGGCCCTTCTTAGCATCCTCCTTCATGTGACGGTCACTTAAACCAGAGACTGCCCACACATAGCAAGACAATGCCATGGAAAGAATGTCTTGATGCAGCTGAAGGTTTCCCTGAGATGTCTTGACACCATTCTAACTGCTCCATTTCAAACTTTAAAGGAGCAGACAAGAAAGTCCACTGCAATTTGATCCATATATAACACCCTTAAAACGCGGAAGCACATGTGAGATTTTGTGTTAGGAACGATGATGCACCGAGACCATTGGTTTAAGTTCAAACATGTAGAGAGAGAGAGAGAGAGAGAGAGAGAGAGAGAGAGAGAGAGAGAGAGAGAGATCCTTCACGAGCCTACGACGACGCAAAATCTTATGATGATTGATATGTCAACCGCCATAGATTATCAAGTCTAGCTTTGGATTTGGCTTTATCAGACATCTATGCCCTCCTACGACACAGTCGTTAGATCGTGGTGGTTTGAACTCGGCGCAGATTTCTCATCTTTGTCATCTTAAACGAAGCCTCCCGGAGAGCTAAAGAACAAAAGAGAGTAATCAAATAAAGCAGGCGGGCATCATAAACTATCCCATAAAACTGCATGGATCATCCTATGCTACTTGTAGACGACATATGCACCCATGTTCGGATTCATTAATCTAATCACACCACTTAGGATGAGAACAATGGAGTTGATTGTTTAGACAAGGATGAGAACCTGAGAGGATTAGTTGCTCGATCTTGGTTACTCCACTGTGTGCTGTCTGGGAGCTCAACAGTTTAAGCTTTTAAGAAGCAAGAGAGAGGAAATTACAAAGGATAAGAAAGCGAAAGATCCATCTGGTTTTGGAGAATGATTTTAAGCTTGTCAAGATGGGGTCAGGAATCCATGACATCCCCACCCCACCCCACCCCTATCACATCTACAGTGTCCTTTTCCCTCCCAACATATCCAACATCACTCATTTAAAGCCCCCCCCAACCTCCCTCCCACCCACACCACCCCGAGCTGAGGCACCCTCTCATCCCTCGAACACCTCTCTGAACTCCGCCATCTCCCTTTCTGCTCGTATCCACCTTTTCCCACTGATGTCTTCCTCAAAGGCCTCGGACAATACAACAGTAAAAGCTCAAGGATACACCCCACCCATGATGGACTTCTGCCAAGGTAAGCCTTATCATTCATCGTCGTTGTCGTCGCCTTCCTCGTCGTCGCCAGTGGCGGGGACCTCCTCCGGCGAGAGGAGAGGGAGGAGGAAGCCCACAGAGCCAGGGAGGTTCCTCGGTGTGAGGAGAAGGCCTTGGGGGAGATATGCCGCCGAGATAAGGGACCCTACGACTAAGGAGAGGCATTGGTTAGGAACGTTCGACACCGCTCAAGAGGCTGCCATGGCGTACGACAGGGCAGCCCTCGCCATGAAAGGCACCCAAGCTCGAACCAACTTCGTCTACGCTGACACCCCTCTGACCACATTTCACGCCGTCACCCCTTTCCACTCCCAGAGCTTCATCCCTCAGCCGATGCCACCGCTTCCCGGCCAGCCTCACCAGCTCGTCGGCGCTGCAACCGCCATACAACCTTCCAACCACAGCAACTTCTCGATTCAAAGTCATCGCCATAGCATCTCCGCTCCGAGTCGCCGTGATGTCGACAGCCTTCTCTTCCGATCAAGTCGGGACGCCACCAACATGCCCGCATTCGGATCTCCAGCAGAGATGGACATGTCTAATGACTTCTTATTTTCTGATGACACTAGGTCGGGTTACTTGAGCAGCATCGTCCAAGAGAGCCGCCTCAGGTCCTCCCGCAAACACTCTTCTGCGAACAGGGGTAACAGCAGCTCGAGCGAGTCGAATGCTCAGGTGCTCTCCCCTTCCAACCAAGTGCAGTGTCAAGTATCCACCAGCAGTTGCGGTGCAACGAATGGAGACCCGTTGGGTGGTGGAGTGGGTTCGATGAGCTCAGAGGACTTCCCTTGTCTTGCAGAGATGAGCAAGGGGTTCTGGATGGACGAGCCTGTGTGGGAACTCAGTGCATGCGGATTCCCTGACGCCAACGACATTAATATGGACAACCTTGGCGCTTCACTGCCGCAGGTCTCCGTCTCCGTCTCCACCTCACCATCGGTGTCTTCACTGACTGATGTTTTCGACTTAGGTTACCCACTTTTCTGAGCGCTCATTTCCATGAGACACAAATGCAGTATTCCGCTCTCACTCTTCACTGAGACATCACTCATAGGCTTTAGGGAAGATTCAGAAAGCACACACACGCACGCACCTGTGGGCTTCCTTTTGTCCGTGTCTTTGTGGTTTCACGCAAGTCGTCAAGTCCTCCAAAAGGGCTTTTTTACCTATTTAGAAGAAGAACAATGATGATATGTATTAGCTTTTCCTTGTGCAACATTCTTCCTCTTTGCTTCCATGGGGAGTTCTAACTGAAGTATATAGATATATATATATATATATATATATATATATATATATATATATATATATATATATATATATATATATATATATATATATAT